TTGTATGGCACACCATTGGGTGTATTCAAATAAATAAATAAATAAATAAAAACTTGGTGATAGTAATAAGTTTCTTGCGGTAATTAGAAGCGAGTGAATCAAGTGCTTCCGAAACTAAATTTCAAGCATGAGCTGAAATAAAGTTGCTGGACGGTATAAAGTGACTTCCATTGCAGTCTGGTCATAAATCTCCATGCATTTAGTTTTGGACTGATCGAGAGGCTTTTACTTCAAGGCCATAAGTATAGGGCCATATTCCACCAACTGGAGGAGGCTTTCAGCTGCCGATCATAGTTTTTCCATAAACTCTGCACCATCAGAGTAAGAACATGAGCACCTAACTGGAGCATCCGTCATTTAACCGCTTAGCAGATTTGGTGTGACTGAACATTGGCCAGGTTTTTTCTTGGAATTCTCGGAGCAATCATTTGAAGGATTGCATTGGTCTAAAATGATTTTAAGATGTGATAGAATCCGAATATAGTGGAACAATTATCGGTGTGAGTGCAGCCTGGCCTGAGGGCGCTCGCTGACGCCTACACTTAAAGGAGTGGGAGATCCTTGTGCGACTAGTCCTAAGTTGTGGTGCAGAATGTCAGAGAGGTTGAAACGCCCATTGGAGTAATGGAAGTGAAAGTCACGTTAGATGGCCATGCCACGCATTCGAACAAAAAAGCAGTAGGGACGCGTTTCGTAGTGCCTAGGTTTCTGGCATTTCCTACTCATGGACAGAAGCAGTGTTTGTATGATCAGCACCAGCCCTAATGGGCTCTGAAAACGTCTTAGAGCAATATAGGTTGAGGAGGGGCTTTCAGAGCGCCAGTACACAAGAAAAGTGGAACCCGGTCCCGAGTTATACAAACTTTGAGAAAATAGAAGAACAGTGCTCATCCAAAATTGTAAGAAAATGTTTCGAGTCCCCAAAGTTGAGTATATTGTTGGAAATAGATTAAGTCCATAGGGCAACATTCAGAAGTCAATTGGGGCCCAATTGGCAGGTATGAGGGCAAATCTTCTTTGCAGTATGGGCTCCCATTTCAGCATACTTACGGTTGAATATGTAATCGATTTCAAAAACAGTATCAATCACATGAGCAGCTCAGCTACTGTACAGTTCGGTCCGGTAAACAGCGCTCGATATCGTCCTTGGTTCGGAGGTCGTTGTTGTGAGCCATCATCTTCCTCTGCAATGTCGGGATCGATTGCTTCTGATTCTCTACAATCTGTTTAAAGGTTCCTGCACCATGAACGAGATACCGATCTGACTGTCGTTTTCTGTAGCCGTCATCTTGAAGGGACAGTTCGTGGTAGATTCAAGGTACCCTTTTTAAGTGGAAGAGCGCAATTATTGACTGGGATTAGTTCATCGGCGGCGAAGAAAGCAAGAAAATTCGTCAATTCTGCGGGAAATAAGACTCCTCGGAAGTAGTGAAAGTAGGGTTTGTGCGAAATTACCATGACAGAAATGACATGGAAGGGGTATTCGGACGAGATTTCAGTTGTTGCGATTGCGCAAAGAGCTGATGACATCGAGCCAAAACTATACACAATTGCCTTTCACTGTCGCTCTGAGTCATGACAAGTTATTTAAACTTCCTACATGGGTTCCCTCGTGAATGGTGCACCCTCTACAATGCCGCTGAAACTCGTCCGCGCATATACACGGGGCAATCTTTAAGCCTTTATAACATCCTGTCCAGGCTGTTTTATGACCTGACAGCACCACATATATTATAGGAGGAGCCACAGATTCATCGAAGGGGGGAGGGGATACCTCATGAGCTAGCCATTTTTATCCTGAACTATGCCTTCAAATCAGAATCACAACATCGGAAAAATCATACTTGAACTATCTCCCGAACAGATAAAGACTTCTGCGCGCCGGCCTCCACCATCTGCGAAGTAATGATGTTGTTGGCAATTCTGTTCAGCTTCCAACAATTTTTCAGGGAATTTTGCTCGATCATTGAAGACCAGTTCAAAGCGCTGCCCATCAATCCTCTAACCTAGGCGAAAATTATTCTAGGACAAGTCAAAATGAATGCTGTGATTGTTGCCATCATTACTCCTCTGGTCTTCTCTCAGCTCTACACACAACCTGTCGTTTACTACCAAGTCCCTTACTATGCAGGTATTTCCAAGGCATACTGCTTTTAGTATTCAACCAGTTTTTGAGATAGAAGCTGAAAGATACCAAAGGGCAGAACATTGATACACTGACTTCTTTAGGGGCAATTGATACACAGTATGGTTATGGTCAGACACCCGTCTTCCAGAATGCTCTCACTTCTCCCTACGCACTCCAGACGCCGTATCTGCAAACACCTTATCAGCAATTACAGTATCCTGGGCTCACACCAGGTGAGACTTCATTTCGTACTGATATCTGATCACGAAACCAACGAATGGGACCGATAATTTGCGATTAGGGACCATGATTTGAGAGTCAGAGCATTTTAAACCTGCTCTTGATAAGAAACTGAGGAAATGTCTACTTACAGGTCTAGGTCTTGGACTTTATCAGAACACCCTGGCTCGAGAACTGACTGGAGGTTATCTGAATGAGTTCCGTGACGCGACTGGTTCACTGAACAATCATGGTTTGTCATCTTACGCTGAGTTTAATAATGAAACTGATTTTTACCCGGTGTAAGTCTCAAGTTCATGCTCTGACATAGGTTTTCTGTAGTCTTTTGCTTCCTCCCTTGCAATGTTCAGGAGAATCCATCATCGATTCACTTCAAGCCGTTTGACAGGTTCTGAATTGGAGTCGATTGCGGGGCACATATCAGAAACTGGGTGAAAAATTGCGGCGGGCAAGGGTGGAGCAGTGGCTAGTGACCCACAGGTGGACGTGGTCCAGAACTGTACCCCGGATAAACAATCGCCCATGCTGAGGCAGCCTTCTTTCTCTCCGGGCTCGTTGGAAGGATAAGGTCTCTATCTTGCACATCAGCTGGCCATCACCGCAAGCTATTTTGTAGGCCACATTCGCCTTCAATACGCCATTACGATTTTGGATGGGTTGTCGGATGCAGGGCGCATCTGAGAAATTTTGATGCTTGAAGCCACGATACCTTAAGTTTTCCTTATTATTTATTGTATTTTAGTGTTGATACCAAAGTCATTCCATGCAATTTCAGGTATCCTTCATCGTGAGCCCGCAACCATCGCGGACCATGCCAGTTATATGAGTCTGATCAACGACAAAGACAATTTCCAGGTGCTACTTAGCTCGCTAGTGCTTTTCTCCTAGAATGGTTCATATCGCCCCTCATAACCCCCGCTGACAGTGGGAAAAAGGGCAGATCACTGAGTGGTTGTTCTTTCTGTATTTGTAGAATATTTCATTTTTTCCTTTAGATAGGGTAGAGCTTCGGCTAACTGAAAGGAATAGGCTTCGGGAGTATAAACAGAGAATTTATCCAAATGATTGTGGAATAAGCGACGGCGACACTCGACTTTATAGTGGGTCAAGCATTTCGCTGAAGAGATTCACCTCATTGACACCTCCTCCCTCTTCAACGAAGGCAATCGGCACTAGACAGAATGTAGTTGAAAATAGAAAAGCATATTGTAAGCGCCACTTTTTCGACTCTACCAGCTTTTGATTGTGCGATAGCCGCCCTTGGAAAATGAGCTTTTGCATTTAGAACTGGTTGGAATGCATTATGACCTACAAAAAGTGATAAGTAAGGCTTAGAAAGCTTACAGCAATAGGCTTTCGATGTGAAAAGTATGAATTGAACCATTGCAAGTACAATCGCCTGCGAATTTAGGCATCCGGTTGTGGATGGGATGCTACGCTGGTGAAGTGCACTGATGCGCTCGGCCTCTGTAAAGGAGGATGTCGCGATTTTGCCGTGTCAGCCTCGGCGACACTTCATGACTGCAGGTGATCAGTAAAGCTCTTTTGATATATAGAACTCAGACACCGACGACAACTTTTAACAGTACCAGTGTATGAAGTTCAGAATTACACAGAGAGAATAGTTTTATTGTGAAAAAGCTGAAAAAAAANAAAAAAAATGAACAGGGCTCTTTTGTGGACTGATATGTAGTTTCCTTAATCGTTGAAAACCGTATACCCCAAAACTTTCATGAATTGTGCCTTCAAGAAGGATGAAGACCGATAGGAGTTAGTGGAAGTAAGATGATGTGGACCGTATTAGGAAGAAAAGGGTGTGAACGGGAAACATGTCCCACTTGAATAATCCCTTCTTTAGGGAGTAAACATTCTCATTCCCGCTGTTCTCTTAATAGGCCATCAGCGCGGGAAAGTAAAGAACATGGGCGAGGGTTCAATTCCTAAACAGAACATTAAAAAATTAAAATATTCTATTTGTTTTGGTATGCCTTCGCACTTCAATCGAACAGCAATCGCTGATCCTGAGCTGTTTACGGTGTACTCCATGATCCTCCATGACTTGCTCTCGAATACTGGATCAGTGATTACCTGTAACTGGTTTTATCCCATAGTCTCCCTCCAGCTCTTGTCAACCCGATGGATAACAAGCACTCGGCAAACACACTATTGCGCTTATGATCCTTGGTATTATTCCTAGGATTTCACCAATGGGTCCATAGCAGTACAAGTGAAAGGAGGCTGAGTGCGCAGGGCTCGAAATGGGATTAACGTCGCTCTTGAGAATGTGCTTCGGGAAAAAATATTCGAAATGATGTGATCACTAAACTACATATGAAGTGGGTTGTTACTAGTGCTCCAGATTTAATGAGGACTAAAACTCATTTAACATTGGAGACTATAGGAATTGTTTGATTTTTTCTGTAACACAGTTTGATGCTCTCATCAAATAGACCTCCTTCTCTTGGCCTTGGATTGGTCAGGAAAAACTGGGCGAAAGTGAGTCAAGCACCCTTCTAGTTCTCCATCTATCAGAAGACAAGAATGTTTCAGTGGCTGTGACAACGAATGCTCGGAAGTCTCTCAAAAATATCTAACGCCAAAAAAAAATCCATCAGCCAATCAATCGATCAACCGAAAAAATCAAAAAACACATTTTTTTGTACTTCTTACTTTGAAATGAACTTTCACTTCTCCTTTTTTCATTTTGCAATTCGTATTCGAACTCTGTTCTTTTATTCTACCTACTTATATCTATATCTATGCTATATACTCTCTGTATATCTATACTATCTACTTATCTAACTACTTTGTGCTTCTGGTTGCTACCAACTCACCTACTTCACAAGTTCAGAAAGAATCATGGGCGAAATTTCAGCCTCGTACGGGACTCGACTCGATCCCGTACTTGCGCTTTACGTAAACTGAGCTCCTTGTCCCTGACAGTACTCTTACCCGAAATACACAAGTGCGGGTTCGAGTCCCGTCTGAGGCTGAACTTCTGCCAAAACTGGCCAATCTGAACTTTGTAAGACTTTTCCATTGCGTACTGGCAGTAGATAAATAGCAATTAACAATAATGTCTCATTTTGCTTTTTTGAATAGAAATTTCCGTTGCGAAATTTTAGAGATTGCATTCATAACTAAAGTTTTTTTTTCAGATGCATTCCATATGGATATGCGGCTCTCCTGAAACTCGTGGGGAAGTAGTCCTGTGTCACGTCATCGACAATCGGCATAATCTGCCATTCGGCATTTTATATGCTCGCTTACTGCATTATTATTTTACAGTTGTGTATTACTGGTTTATTCGAACATGTTCCACACCATCGTAATCCACGAATAAAAACCTTCACGGGAACACCACGATCCGCTTTCACGTTTTTACTGTTTTTGATGAGTGTCCACGTAACAACCGGTTTCCCACCGATGCCGAGTCGAGATGACCGCCAACCTAAAGCGAAAATGGCACTTGAAGCGGAACTTGTGCTCCGGAACATCTGCCCATGTGCTACGTAAAATGACATCAATTTACTGAACTGTTGGGTTTATTCGAATAAATTTATCTACTCAAAGTATAAACGGTGAAGGCAATAACTTACTCGATTGACGTTTCTAGTGAATTCACTCATTACGGAACCTTCTCGAACCAAATCCACGTCATCACCTCAAAGAATTGATTTTGGGATGCTGAAAGAAGGAACCGAATCCGCTTAATCAGCAGGCGAGCCGAATGAAATCAACCTCTTCTACTAACCTTACGCAGAAAGCACCTCAATGCACTGTCCCATGCGACAATGTTTTTCACCTTGGGACGAATTTTGTTTATTGTTTTGTTGTCCGACCACGCCATCTCTCTTCCTCCCTTATAAAATCGGTTTCTGAACAGTGAAGGACTCGGTGTTCTTCAAGTGAAATCACATTGCAGCACAATACCCTCATCTACATGGTTCACGGAATTCCAGGACATACCAGAAGGACTTACTACACAACGTAAAAATATGTGAGTCATGATGAACACTGAGAGGTATCCACATCGTCCTGATCCTGAGTACGGGGAATTTTGGTTGAATGCTGACTCTCATCCTACTATGCTGCTGGGCACAAGCGCTAGAAGACATTTTTTCATGCTAACCTTGAGTTTTCCTTGGCTGGATGGATTCAACTATTGCCGCAGAGATTGTAAGATTGAAATATTCGAAAAGTTTGCAAAAAATATAAAATCGCGAGAGATTCCTGGACAGTCGGCCGAACTTATGGGATCACGAGTTTGTGCTTATAACGATCGGTTGTGAGAAGATGTAGGGAATTGTATAAAAAAATACTTTTGGAATTGAACACTTTTCCCTCAGATTCTGATGAACCAGTAGCTTATTCCTCCAGTAAAAGGCAAATAAAATGCATATAAATGTTCTAACGTTTATATGTGTCTGCGTGTGTATCTATAATAGTAGAAGGATCGAAGCGACCAGTTGGACTGAACAATTAAAATCTGGTACCATTTGGGTCATGCCAGCGTGGACATCATTTCCTGCCGGTCATGCAGCTGTTTATGTTAATAGAGTTGACCCACGATTTATATAAAATGGACAGTTCCAGAAGATATTTGGGAAAAAATTTCGGAGCCGACCAATTCGAGTGTGAGAGCACTTGAACATGCTCTCGCGATCCAATTCTATTCAGTAGCTCAATAGCGTTCAAACGGGTACTAGGCATATACAATGACTTACGAGAGCCAGACCCATTCAGACTGTCTGGATGTCAGGCTGGTTGCCGCCAGAGAGAGAGAGATGAACCCAAGCTGCTGTAGATTAAGCAAGTGGTCTTCAGTCTCCAGAACCCTAAAGCTGGGTCAGTCCACTGGAATATTCCATAATTCGTGGGAGCGGAAGATTTCTTACTTTCTGATTCTTCTCTTCCCATTTCCTGTCAGCTGCGATTCTTCGATAAGGTGCTTATTCTCAGCTTTGCATAGCCTATGTGTCTGGACTAGGTTTTCCATGCTGTGCTCGTGAGCTTTGGTCACGCTGTTTCAGCAACTCACTTGAACGAAAATCGAAAATTTGATCGATAATGGTGAGCCTTACGAGAGTTTCATTGCTCTGTGGAGGTCCATGTATGGTTTAACTGAAAAGTGACCCTGGCGCCACCTGATCTCCGAAAGTCGCTTTACGGATTAAGCGTGCTGCCTTGTGAACCTTGTGATCAGGGGAAAACGCCCGCAGAACAAAATACCAAACCGCTCTTTACTTTCTGAGTTCATATTCAGTCAAGCTTGACAGGCTGTAGTAGGCGGCTCCTCTTATCAAAAAAGTTTGTAGGAAAAGTCGTCATTATTCTGGTTTCGCTTGGTTCAGAAAACAGGATCTGTATTCTCTTTTATTTCTCATTATACCCAGTGGCCGCCAGGCAGCTGGCCCCTTGTTCCTCACCACACATCACTTCGAAAGCGAATCTTCCAGTTTGGAAGGATCATACTGAAAGCCAACCGTATGGCTAGTTTCCAATGGTATAATAAGGGTTTCGTGGAAGGAGCGATTGGAAGGTGATCTTGAAAATTGCCTGATAGGTTATATGACCTTCTACTCCTAGTTTTTCTCTCTTGCAAAAGTGAAAGTACTCGGATATCAGTGAAAACGCAATCAACTGGTAAATTGAAAGCGAGTTGCAGCGATTATTCAAATCGGTTGTGTTCGCGGATCAGTGGTAGCGGGCGATGCGGGGGGCTCCGCCTCTGATGATCGTTCTCCTATAAAGTCACCGTCAAACATGTGTACACTCATTTTTCTCACTAATACTTTGTCATCTGTTGTTCTTGGAAATAGTACTCATTAACCAGTAAACAACCAGTAAACATACTTGTCATACGTTTATCCCTATTACTTTGACGTTTTCAGATATGATACGTGCAGCTGTTATTTCGCTACTTTTCGCTATTTTAAGTTTATCACTGTAAGTTCAGTCATCCATAAATCAAAAAAGAACTTTTCGTCGAATTTGTGCCTTTTCCAGAGCTGCTCCGTATAGAACTGGCTATGGCCCGGAAAGTATGATGGGCTACGGAGCGTATGGAGGCTACGGTAAATTTTATCATAAACTGAAATGATTGATGAAATAGTCTGACCGTAAATTCTCCAAAAGGTGCGCCATGCTCTAAACAACCTGTATAGCTGAGCATTAAACGTGCTTGGGTAACTGTAACCTAACGACCAACGATAGGGAGCATGCTTTAGTCGATTTTTTCTCTTATGTAGTTCAAATTTCGATCGGGCTTTGCTATACCTAGGTATAAAATTACCGCCTAACTTTTATGTGCTATATAACGTATATTTTTCCCCGACTCATATGTACCCAGGCCAACCGAGCCTTGCATTCCTGTGGAGATGCTCCGATGTTGTCTCAATGGAACAAGACTCGTCGGGAGAATAAACGCTAACTGAGACTGTAGCTCAGTTGGCCATCCCAAGTCGTAGGTAGCCACATAAAGGTTACAGAATTAGGTCTTTTGGCGTTGATTAATCCCGTCTGAGGACTGCACCCCGCATTCGAGTCCCATTCAGAATCGTGGTGGCCTATTGAATGCGTATGTGGCCTATACAATGGCTTGCGGTGGCCAGCCGATGTACAAGTGGATGCTTTTGTCCTCCCAGACGAGCCTGGTACCAAATAAACGAACTCGAAGGGATGGAGGGCTTGGTTGGCCAAGGCGGGAATCGATCCGGATTTGGACCCGTGAACGTGCGTGTGAAATAGTGCGCCACTTGCCACTACAACACCTTCGCCATGACATTTTTATAAATTATATTGATGTAATTTAGCTACAGGCGTCTTCCTCTCTGAAGATCCTGAATCTAACACTTCCTAGAGTTTTTTGATTCTTAATTCGCTTTATGGGTATCTGGCTGCAAGGGCATCGAATAGCAATCCTCTCCTTTTTTGAATATGTGAAAAAGTCGAAATGTACGCTCTTCCCGTAGAAGAGTAGGCTAGATCACTTTAGAATCTCACATTCAATGAAGTATGTAGTAAGTCAAAGTTTCAAAGGATAGAAGCAATGGACCATTTTTAGGAACAATGGGAGGAATGGGATCGCCTTACGGAATGGGCATGGGAATGGGATATCCAGGAATGCTTTCGATGAGCATGAGTAGGTTTCACAGCATTCTCTGTGGCCATCTTATACAATTCAAAGCTATTTCAGGTCCATATGGAATGGGTATCGCAGGAATGCCAGGAGCAATGGGAATGGGTGGACCCCTCGGTGACTTCTACTTGCTACTATTACACTTACAAATGTTCTTTGAATTCTCTTTGTTTCACCAAAGCTCTTCAAATATTCAGGATCTCCGTACGGTTCAGGAGGGCTTTATGGTGGTGGTCTGGGCTCTGGACTTGGAGGACTTTATGGTACCGGTGCTGGCTCACCGCTTGGTTTGGGCATGGGAACGAGTTCGTTCTTCAGAAGAAAGTGAACATTCGAAAACAACCCGGAAGCATCATCTGAATGTCTTTCATCAAATGATCTACATGTTGTATACTATTTATTTAGTGATCACCACCTTGGCACGCAGCCAATGCAAACCACTGTATTATAAATATATACATATTACTATGCTATTGTATAAACGACTTGGTTAAATCGAATAGCAGGACTGGCGTTTGAGGCTACAGACGGTAAATAAGTTCGGAGAAGTTGGGTCTTCCGGCTTTGAAAAAATATGGATTCAAACAAATTTTGGAAAGCTGGCTGAATGCAATCCTGAATTCCTTCGTTGGTAGCATCACGATACCATAGAGCCTCCACTGCAAGGCCATGTTAATTGACGGGACCATTTTTGAGTGGACACTGCTCAGGGAGGGGAGCTTTCCCAGAAAGCTATTGATAAGATGCTTCACTCCAGTTATCTTGAGTAAAAAAAACTGATTTAATGTTCAGAAGACAAATTTTTGCTGTGGATATGGTTGAGACACAGAGTCCTTAGCAAAATTTACTCAGGTACTGGATTTCGATCCGGACAAGCCTAGAACAAATTAAGCGACCCGAGGGAAATGGAAGGAGTAGTTGGCCGNGTCCGAGATCCGTGGACCATTTATATCATAGTGCACACCTTTGCCAATACACCATCTGCGCCATAACATTACGACTACGAGAAAAGGTGTTTCCTATTGAAAATTTCATTCCAAATGATTTTTGTTAAGAGGTGTCAAAAAAGTCGCCACGAGATATCTAACTTGTGGCAGCAAAGCCTTTATAGTAATAACGTTAAACTACTAAAAAAGCAGTTCAGCCTCATTAAGGAAACATCAAGAGCCTCCCAAGATGAATTTCCCAATGACCGCTTTCATAGTCCACGATTAGGCTCGCGAGCGGGCGAGCGAGCGAGCGACGGGGGACTACTCGTCCGGCGGTATCGACCAAGATTCAATTGTAAACAAGGGGCAAGCACCGCCCTCGTCACTCGTTCTCAGGCCAAATCGTGGACTATAAAAGCAGCCAGTGCCACCATGTTGCATCGTATACAGTAAGCCAAAGTCGTGACTTTATCCAGCCAGTTCTGCCTCTTGGAATTCTCTCTCATAAACAAGGAAAAACAAAATGTTCTTGAGGTAAACAAAAAAAGTATTCCAGTGACGCCGAAATTATGCGTTTCGTCCCTCTGCACAGTTTTTACGATTCTTTTCTTAACGATTACTACTGGTTTATCGCTGGTGAAAGTATGAAAAGTTATGCAAAATGTAAATCCCAGAAGTCAAAGTAGCTGGAAACCTCTTCTACGTAGCTTAGGGAGTTTAGCAGAGCTACAGTATCCCGAAAAGGTCCGATAACGCCGTACAAATGTGTCGTGTTTTACTTCTGTAGTGTCTTGATCCAAGAAAACGAAAAATGGGTTGAAAATGCGATAGATAGCTCTTCCTGGAAGATCGCCATGGATCCTAAATTCGCAGCAAACTTTTTTTTGTATCGGAAGAAAATTCGAATGTGTGGCTTATTCCGGGTGCCAAACAGTATCGAGCGCTTCCTCTTTTAGAGTCGAGCACAGCATAACAGTGAAATTCATTTCTCATACTTATTAAATTCAATAAATTCAATTGGATTCGGTGATTTTCTTATATTCAGCAAAGCTGACCAGACCATCACGATCGAGATCAAGCGAGTTCAATGATATGTCGACCAACTTCTCGACCTGTTCGTCGCTGAATATTTCAGCTGAAATAACTAACACTTTCCAATATAACAGCTAATTAATGGCTCCACATATAAAAGAAAAACTAACTCAAATGGCCATCATGGGAGTGTGACATGGACTTCAATATCTCAATTCCATCGAGTCTTCCGTCATGGTTAAGATCGTTAATCCAGAAATAATGAAATCTGAGTAAGGAAACTAATAATAAATGATATCTCATGGTTAGGAGCCATCGACCTAATCCTTTGGCGTCTACTTCCCAATAAAGGATGATTTGAGAATCATTTTTCCTTAAAAATGGTTTTCCAGTGAAAGAGGTCACCTCTGGATGTTCTTCACTGAAAACTCCTCTCCTATCTAGGATTTCCGTCGGTAGAATTGTGAAGTTGAGTTTTAGAATTTCAGGAATACCCACCGCTTCTGCTCTTCCGACATAGGAGCGTCGACTCCGATTTTATCTTTCAGATGCTCTTTCATGTGGCTGAAATGTGTTTCATTTATCAGATCTGTAGAACCTTAGAACATCTTTCCGGAAAACTGAGCTTACGCTTCATCGTGAATTGCCTTTTGGTCGCCGAAATTTTGAAGTTCTGCATCTGAAAAGATTGAAAATCAGAACAATTTTGAATTCAAGAAAAGTATGCAGGATGTCGTAGGGATTTTCGTGGTTCAGCCCTTTTATAACGCCACAATGCTTCAGTGACATATGCCCGTCCGTATGAGAAGTTCTGAAACTTAGGCATATTGCCTGACTTACCGGCTTGCTATGCCGTTATTGAAAAAGGAAAAAGTGACAGCAGTACGGGTCTAGGAGGGGGGTGGTGCACCGATTTCCCACATCGATGTTTTAATATTGTCAAGTGCCGATTACAAAGGTAGTGAGACTGATACTGAGGTGTACGCACGTAAAACACACGTACAATAGAAAAATGCCCTTCCTGCAAAGTAGTCATCATGTATTTTCAAAGGCATTGTCAGCTGCTGCTGGTGAAGTAACGAAGTGGTCGACTGTCGCCCATCACGTTCGCCCCGCCTCCTTGCGGAATGCCATGGTAGGGATGGTGAAATGAGGTTGGAATTTCTCTTTTAAAGATCTTTCTGTAGTCCAAAACGTCTTAACAACGTTATGGACTTTTGGGAACAACTGAAAGGATTGGAATTCTGCGTACTAAAAAGAGTTCGCTAATATCAACAAATTGAACTTTCCAAATTATTTACTAAATTACGTGCCAATCCCCTTCTAGAGCTAATCTGGATAACCTTGGATGCTTAGCCGGGAAGAGTAGACTACTTATCTTGGAACTTTGAGCGGAGACCCGGATAAATCGATAGAGTCTTGAATGCTGTCGACGAAACTGGGAATTAAAACTGCAAAAAGATTTTCCTTGAAAAAATTAAATTTCATGTTCTCTCATCTTTGAACCTCGGCATGTCTGTTGTTCTTGAAATCGTTAGTTTTTGCTTCTGCCTCGAGGTTGGTAGGTGGAAATATTTATTCTGGCCGACGTTTCGACGGACTCGTCGTTTTCAAAGGCCTTACTTCCACCGCGAAGTGTAGCTACGCTACACAGTCAGTACATT